CTACGTGTCCACCAGGAGATGAATGGGTAAAGGAGAGGTGGTCCATACACACTAGGGAACATCATTCAGCCATAAAAGAGAAAGAAGAAAAATCTTACCGCCATTTGCAACAACACGGATGGAGCGAGAGGGGGTTATGCTCAGTGAAATAAGCCAGGTGGAGAAAGACAGGTATCGAAGGATTTCGCTCCTCTGTGGAGTATGAGAACAAAGCAAAAACGGAAGGAACAAGACAGCAGCAGACTCACAGGACCCAAGAATGGACTAACAGTTGCCAAAGGGAAAGGGACCTGGGAGGATGGGTGGGAGGGGAGGGAGGGATAAGGGGGGAAAAGGGGCATTACAGTCCGCACACGTAATGTAGGGGGTGGGGGGCCACGGCGAAGGCAGTATAGCACACAGAAGACAAGTAGTGATTCTAGAGCATCTTAGTACACTGATGGACAGCGACTGTAATGGGGCCTGGGGAGCGGACCTGATAATGGGGGTGGGAGCAGGGGAGAGGGGGAGTCTAGTAGCCACAGTGTGTTGCTCATGTAATTGTCCATTACTGACACCACACCACACCACACAGAGAGAGAGAGAGAGAGAGAGAAGATTCTAAGTCCCCAGAGAGACAGTCAGTAGAAAATAGGCCTTCCGGCCACCATGGATTCTTTCTGTTTGGTTTTGACAGGGCCCAGTCATAGATTCAGTGGTACAGCGAGGCCTTCCTCATTTTTTCTCACCTCAACAACCGAATTGCCGTGATAATATGCGTCTGGGCTTTTGAAATCAGTGGGTTTTACGATGTTCACGAATGTCAAGAAGTCATAACCAGATACAGAGGGAAGTTTGGACGCTCAAATAAACACGTCACTCCACAACACACTCTTTGCTCCCAACTGCTCCTGTCTAGAACTTGGGTGTTCCTTTCTACTTGTCCCTCGTCCTATCAGCGGTGATCACGCCGATGTCCCTCAAACATGGTGGTATGAGCAAAGCACCAAGTTTCCTCTTCTGTCTACAACAGGCCTGTGGTACAGGTCCTCTCAGATCTCAGAGGAAAAGCAGTAGCAGCGGGAGAAAACCCAAAGACACAGAAATAAAAGACGGTACAGTACAATGAAAACTGACACAATGAAGGCAAGAGAAAAGAGACTTCTGAGACCCATACTTAATTCCTTCAGAGACACGAAAGACGCCGCCCCCATACAACAAAACTACACCACTATGGAAAAAGCACAGGCAGAGAACAAGAAGAGAGAGAAGTCTGGGCCAGAGAGAGAAGTCATCACAGCAGCAGCAGCAGCATCTGGGGCCTGCCCCCCACACACGCTCTGCGCTCATCGCTGTTAAAGGTTAAGACTGTGGGGCTCGGCTCGCCGGGCCTCTCCCTAAGCACCCGGGGGTATACACGGCGGGGACCGAGGGGTCGGCGGCGGCATCTCGCCCGCATTTATATTCCGCACGGTTTGGAACATAACACATGGTTGGCGAAGGAGCGGGCGGCACCAGGTACCACTGAACGGGCAGCTGAGCTCTGAAGCCGAGTCCAGCCATTCACTGTGTCACCGCTGTTCAACAGATCCCGTTACCTGAAGGGTGATGTGCACGAGCTTACACACTCAGACCTGATATGGGAGGTTCTCGCCAAGTACGGACGGAGCAGGGAGAAGAGGGCACGCCTAAGTGAGAGTGCACGGGAAGGAAGCCTCCAAGAGGAGGTGACTAGAGAGCTGGGTCTTCAACGATCCATGTTCTTCTGCTGGGGTGAAGTGTCTTAAAAACCAGAGGTAAGAGGTGGGAACCCCCAGAGGAAATAATTCAGAGACGAGAAGGCACGAGACAGGGTCTTTTCAAGGAGCAGGGAGCTGGGCTCACAGGGATGGACATGTAGACAAAGTTAAGGCCAGGCCGTGAGTTGGGGATGGAGGATTTCACATTTTATTCCGTAACAGTGTCAGTGCTTCCACAGTAAAACAGTGAGCAGGCAGGGCCTAGGTCCACCAGGAAAGACCCGAGAAACCAGAAGCAGGGTTACTAGACATGGGACACGTAACATAAAGGATGAACTGTCAGGATCGGGAATGGACAGGCTGACTGCTGAGAGGAGGCAAGGTGGCCCCGCAAGCTTCCAGCCTGGCTGACGGGCAAGCACGGCGACACCGTCGAGACGAAGAAGTCTAAAGGAGATGCCTTTAAAAACAAAAAGTGTTTCCCGGTTTACTGTGTTGTGTTATTCACGTACGAGACACAGGCCCCCAAAACTAGACCAGAGAGAAAATCGGGGTGGCCAGGCCCAGTCAGAATGCGGGATGTGGCTCTGCTGAGACCTGGTGGTCCCTGGCCTACGCTTCCCGTGAGAAGCAAAGAAAGAACCTGCCCGCTAGCTAGGAAGGCAAGTCACGGGGTCTGCGCCCTCCCCTCAGAAGTCAGCCGCCTGGCTGGCCATGGCTGAGAGGGCATGCCTGGCTCCAGGTGTCCCGGAGAAGCTGGGGAGGCCCGGGAAAAGGGCGGGCCGTGCCCTGGGCAGCCTCTGGGTGGCTCCGCGCCGGGCTGTGAGCAGGCCCCGGCCTCCGGGACCGCGGGGGCACGGCACTGGCCGCCCGCCGCACCCATGCAGAGCCGGCACCCGGGCGGGCTGAGCTCTGACAGACGTGGGCACTGCAGCCCTCGACGGTCTGCATGGTGGCCTCGTTGGTCCAAACACACCCGCACGGCCCTCAGCGGGCAGTCCCGGGGGCTAGGGATTCGACTGGGGTTGGCCTGGGGGCCGCGCCGTGGCCTTGGCCCTGGCCCAGGGTCCTCTCTGGGCGGGGCCGGTGTGCTCAAGGCAGTGGGGGCTTGGTGACCCGGCCCCTGGCTGACGTCACAGTGGCCCAGGCCGCTTTGTGATGCGTCCCCTGGCTGACACACGTAGCAGGCTCGCCCTAGCTGGGCAGCTCAGTGCGTGCTTGGCCTGAGAAGGAGTTAGCGGCAAAGGAGACCCTCTCCCTAGCTTCAGACCCTTTCCTTGGATCATTTGGCACACACCACAACCCATTTTTCCGTGTGGACAGTTTTCTCCTTCCTAAGGTTCGTGCCCCACCGCGCCCGCCGCCTCCCCAGCCCCACTTTCCTCGCCCGCCGGTCCTCCCCGTCCCCGGGACGCTGCCCCCTCCCCTCCTGCCAGGGAGCAGCCCGCACCTGCCCGCTGCCCTGGTCACAGGCTGTTCCACCGGGATCCCGTGCCCTTAGCAGCTGTCCTTTCCCACTTCTCCCAGCAGAGTTCCCACTTCCCCGGGGAGCAGTCCTGGGCCTCTGGACCAGCCTAGGCTCCCAGCAGGCGGCTGGAGAGAGACCACCCAGACGAGCTCCACCTCGGCAGGGCACACGGGCACCACTACCAGCCCGCCTCAAGGTGTCCTGCCTCTGCAAAACCGCCATCCAGAGTCAGCCACCACACAAGGCCGTGGGCGGCACAAGCGCCGGCCCGATGGCGGCCTCTGATGCTCGAGGCGAGCCGGTGGACAGGACGCCACCGTCGCTGGCCGTCGTCTCCCGGGCACCCCCGGCCGCACACAGGGCCGTGGGCAGAACCACCACCGCCCGCCTCCCGCGCACCTCGGACGTCCACCGCGCGGGCGGTCACCGTCCGGTCTCCCCGGGCCTCACACGATGCCGTGGGAGGCACAGACGACGGCCTCGGCCCTACCCGGAGGTCGGACGGGGACCCGACGGGCACGCCACCGCCCTCGGGAGAGACAGCTACAACTGCCCCCGGGGCCCAGACGAGGCCGTGGGCAGCACCACCGCCGGCCTGCCGCGCGCCTCGGACGCCGACCGCACGGGCGGTCATCGTCCTGCCTCCCCCGGCCCCACACGATGCCGTGGGAGGCACAGGCGACGGCCTCGGCCCTACCCGGAGGTCGGGCTGGGACCCGACGGGCACGCCACCGCCCTCGGGAAAGACACCTACAACTGCCCGCCGGGCCCAGACAAGGCCGTGGGCAGCACCACTGCCACCCCGAAGGCCGCCGATGACGATGAAGAGGAGGCGATGGACACGACACCACCCTGGCTGGCCGTCACCCTCCGGTCCCCCGCAGCCCCACTCGAGGCCGTGGGCAGCACCACCGCCGGCCTCCCGCGCCCCTCGGACGCCCACCGCGCGGGCGGTCGCCACCCTGCCTCCCCCGGCCCCACTCGATGCCGTGGGAGGCACAGGCGACGGCCTCGGCCCTACCCGGAGGTCGGGCTGGGACCCGACGGGCACGCCACCGCCCTCGGGACAGACACCTACAACTGCCCCCCGGGCCCAGACAAGGCCGTGGGCAGCACCACCGTCGGCCTCCCGTGCACCTCGGACACCGACCGCGCGGGCGGTCACCCTCCTGCCTCCCCCGGCCCCACTCGATGCCGTGGGAGGCACAGACGACGGCCTCGGCCCTACCCGGAGGTCGGAAGAAAA